CTGGATTACTACGTGTTGGATTATTACGCGTCAGATTACTACGCGTTGCATTACTACGCGTAGAATTACCACGCGTTGCATTACTACACGTAGGATTACCAAGCGTTGCATTACTACGCGTTGAATATCCACGCTCTGGATTAGTACGCGTTGGATATCCACACGCTGGATTACTTCGCGTCATCCAAAGCTGCCGTTTTCGAATCTGCGCATGCGTTATCCTCGCGCTCTAATTGGTCCATGTTTTTCCTTAATAATTCATAAACGAAGCTTCAAACCCCATTTCTGCAAAGGGAAATCTTATTCAGAATAACGTCAGCTACCCCCCATTTCAGGAACCTGCACTAATTATGAAACACCCTGTAGATTCTACAATAGTTTCTGTGGTACAATAGTTTCTGTAGATTTTACAATAGGTTACTAGATCGTACAGTTTCAGAATCGCGTTAGCTCCCAAATTCAAAGACGTAAACTAATTTTGAGACACCCTGTATAAAATATATTTTACAATTCTTTTTATCATCCCCTATTGAAAAATTACATTTGTTTTTATTTCACCGATTCGATTAGGAAACCGACAGGAACACACGTGTACAATTGCGGTTCGTCGGTTTGGAAGCCTGTATATATTCAAACGAACTATACATTGTTCTTCAAGGTGGTAGAAAAGTATCCATTCAGTAAAATGGTTTGGTATCCATTCGTCATATTAGCTCGCAATCTGTACAGTTTTATTTTGCTTCATCTACTGTTTCACCTTATCCCTGCTGCGTTGTGTGATGCAGTTCTGTACGTTATTGGAAAGGAAACGAAGTGAGTATTTAACAAATTTTTAAGTTTTAAATCATAGTGGAAAAATAAATAAAATAACTGATATTATTTAGCGTACTAGCATAATAACAGTAATTAACATATTTGATGGTAGTTTTAGTATTGTTGCAATTCCAATTAGAAGTATTCTAATTAGAACCGTATGATATGCCATTATAGTTGTTTGATATATTTCTGAATTTCTTAATTTTTCAATTTCTGAATACTTTAATTGCTAAATTTCTAAGTTTTCAAATTCTCAAATCTCCAAATTCCAACATTCTTAAATTTTCAAACTCCCAGATTAATAAATTCCTAAATCCCTATATTCCCAAAGTTCTAAACTTCCCAAATCCTTATACTCCTCAAATTCCTAAATTCCCAAATTTCTACATTCCCAACTCGATAAATTCCCAAATTACTAAATTTCTCAAATCCCGAAATTCCCAAATCTCTAAATTCCCAAATCCCTACATTCCCAAATCGCTAAATTCCCAAATCCCTAAATTCCTAAATCTCTAAATTCCCAAATCCCTAATTTCCCAAATTCCTAAATTCCCAAATCCCTAAATTCCTATATCCCGAAATTCCCAAACCTCTAAATTCCCAAATCCCTAAATTCCCAAATCCCTAAATTCCCAAATCCCTAAATTCCCAAATCCCTAAATTCCCAAATCCCTAAATTCCTAAATCCCTAAATTCCCAAATCCCTATATTCCTATATCCCTAGATTCCCAAACTTCTACATTCCCAACTCGATAAATTCCCAAATTACTAAATTTCTCAAGTCCCGAAATTCCCAAATCTCTAAATTCCCAAATCCCTACATTCCCAAATCTCTAAATTCCCAAGTCCCTAAATTCCGAAATCCCTAGATTCCCAAATCTCTAAATTCCCAAATCCCTAATTTCTCAAATTCCTAAATTCCCAAAACCCAAAATTCCCTAATCCCAAAATTCCCAAATCCCAAAATCCCCAAATCCCCAAATCCCTAAATCCCAAAATTCCCAAATCCCCAACTTCCGTAGTCCCCAAATAGAATTTGTTCAGAAAATTGTTAAAAATCTCTCGATTCTCACTTTTTTTTGCAGAGCCTTCAAGCTAGCATGGAAGGTGACAACCTTCCTCTCACCCATATACTACTTCTGCACTGGTAACTGGGCTGTGGAAGTGCAAAATACTCAGGATATCCTCACCTACATGAATCCTGCTGATTACAAAGATTTCTTTTTCGATTTTGCAAGAGTCGGTGCGGACGATGTTATTTATCGGTACATGCATAGTGTCAGATCGGTTTTATTGAATGAGAAACCGGAAATGCTTCCTGCTGCTAAGAAAAGATATAAGAACTTAAAGATAGCACACTATACCGTCTGCACGTTTGCTGTTCTTTTTATAGTATTCTTTGTTTACAAAAGTATGTGCAGTTATTGTTAAAAATGTTGAAATAAATATATCTTCGTCCTCGGATTGCTTTATTTTATATCTGTTATCAAACCCCGTCTATTTTAAATCTATTACCCTCAGTGAATCAAATTAAATTTTTGCGCTACTAGGTTTTACTGGCGGTCAAATTTTCTCATTAAATTTGAGAAAAATTCGATGAATTCTTTTGAACTTCCATTATTAGTCGCCATATTGCTTCACTGCGTCACGGATAAAACTATAGTCAATTTTATCAACTAGTTAGTTAACATCAAATTTAGTTAATAAGTTTTTATAATTGTGAAAACTAATAAAAATATTTAAATTCAATTTGAAGTATTTTTTAAACTCTTTCTTTAATATCGCGATGTTTGATCGTTAATCTTTGGATTATTTTCCGCACTTTTCGCGTTTCCTTACTCCTTTTACGGTAATAAGGATAATTCAATATGTTATCAATGCGCTTTTTGAAACGAAATATTACTTGGTAAGAAAGACGTTATTAGAATCTGATTGTACGATAACGGATGGAGGAGGTTTGGCGAAGACACGGGACAGAGATTCAGAGATGGTGCAAGCCCGTTCAGAATGTCGAGAATCAATTTCTATATACAATGTTCAAGACAACAATTACAAAGATTATTTGAAAAAATGAATGGACTATATTGCTTGTTCGAACTATATATTTGTAACTCCATGGAACACTCTTATAAGTTACAGTCAACCTTAACCGACAAGTACACTTAAAATACGTTCAGCAAACAGTTCTGTTGATTTCTTCTGCTTGCATAACAAACTGTAACGATTGCGTTCAAATTTTGTAATTTTATGAATCAGGAAGATCAAGGAAACTGTAAACATTGACTTTTATGATTTCTGTTACCGAAACAGAAAACTGTTCTTTTTCTGTTCCGAAAACATTTTTAACTAATGTCTTTTTTGAAAGTAAAACGAAAGCAAACTTGAACGCAGACGTCATGAGAAATGCAGCTGCACGTGTTATGAGAGTGAAATGGGACAAAATATGAGCATTGTTACAAGCCGGAGGGGTATAGCCGCTTAGTTGGGGAATATCACCAAAAAAAAATGTGGCAAGTCCATGCATTTCGTCCAACTTTGTAATTTTCAATATAGCAAACACGACCTCGCATTTACGGTGTTATTGTGGTAGAGATGCATCAAATCTAAAATCGAACTACAGGGTCTTAAAGCAGAGATCTCAAACTTTAATTTAAAAAAAAGAGCATAATTTTATGATGATTTTTCACGGAGTTGTCATTAGTCCAATTTGGCCAATTATTGCCTAAAATTTGTCTATGCCATATTTCTTTTGAGCAGTGTATATGCCTATATGCCGTATACATAAATATCGTATACCTACATACCGTACACCTAGATACCATACACCCATACACCATACACATATACAGATTTATTAATCATATATGACCCACATGCCTATCTTGTACAGGTTACAGTATTTGTTACAAGGTTAATTCAGATTCGTCAATTGACCTAAGACAAAGAATTTTAACTAACCGACATACATATATCTAACGCCAGGTGCTCCAGGAAGTGATATGTCAAGGCGAGGTTAATGCGTGTCACAGGAAATGCTAGTAATAGGTCGCGTAACTAGATTTTTATGGTATACCTCAAGCAACTGAGATACACCGACAGGTGGACTTTTTGAACTTTATTTAATATATGTATTCCCTGAAACTGGGTTTTACAATTGTTAATACATTCGATCGAATGTGCTAATTATGTGAATTTATGACTTGACAAACTTTCACATTTTCATAAAATGTTATTAATACGCAACTTGTTATGCAGGTATTAGTGAGATTAAATTGTTAATTGTTAATTCTTAAGTGTAAATGTAGTTCTCTAATGTAGCAGTTAGAATAATTGATAGCTTAATTACAGCCTTATTTGCTTATTACATTGTAGCAATACATAGAATGGTGTAATAATGTAATTCCATTTTTTAATTATTTAAACAAGTAACATAATGTGTTAATGGTAATGTTAATATGTCAATATGTTAATGAGTCAATATGTTAATGTGTAAATATGTTAATGTGTGAATATGTTAATGTGTCAATGTGTTAATGTGTGAATATGTTAATGTGTCAATGTGTCAATATGTCAATATGTTAACATGTCAATATGTCAATATGTCAATATGTCAATATGTCAATATGTTAATATGTCAATATGTCAATATGTCAATATGTCAATATGTTAAGATTAGCAACTTTAAAACTTACTAGTTGAAAGGTTTAATAAACTCTTCTGTTAATATTCCTCTATTAATAATTTCCATTATTGCCCGTTTCATGATTAGTCATCACACGTGTGAAATATTTAGTTAACAAACATTTATATCAGGTCACTGCATTTAATCGCATAGCGAACATGAGTCGTCTTTCAAGCGCAAAAGGTTAAACATAAAATTATCATTAACAAAAACTTGACGCCATCAAAGTCTCATTATACAGACATTCTGTTCTAATAATTATCAGGAAGAAATGATTAATCACGTAGTATAAATTTGGATTCTCGGAACAAAGTGGCAGTTAATAACAGGTTGTTCACATAATGAATAACACTCAGGCATTAACATATGTTATGTCTAATTTACAAGAAGTATTCCCGGATGAATAATAAAGTGCCTGCATCATACTTTTAGTAATCAAGTACACCCTTCATATACCATAAGTTTCTAGGAATATTAGAATTAAGTTGACGTTTCATTTTTTAATTAAATTAAATATTTTCTTTTAAATTCTGTCATTTTATTGTAGCTAAATAAATACTGCTAATAAATCTAAATACTATTAATGTATAATGAAAGCGTTCTTCGCAATATATTCCGTGAGACCAAAGATGCGGATTGTGCTCAGAATAATTCGTACACGAAACTGTGTCTCCTCGGCATAGTAAACAATTTTGAAATGGTAAACATTTTTCGTTCGAGTCCCAAAAACTGTTCTTACAAATATTTCCTTTTGCAAAAAAGATTTTATTAAAAAAAAATTGCTCGATATCAGAGCATGTCGGTTTTTCGAAATTTCGCGCTAAAAATATATAAATAATAGCATAATTAATTATCATAAAATCAAAGAATTCCGAAGATAATTAATCTTGCACTCTGATGTATTTTTATGCATAATATAGTAAATTAGGCTTATAGAATTAGTATTATTTTAATTTTTCGAAAATGAAACATCTGGCGCCATCTCTCCGGCAAACAGGCTGAACTACACACTTTTGAAACTGTAGTTTCATTAGTTCTCGTATTCTACCGCCAGATAGCGCAATGTGTTCATTTTTGTGATGATCATCAGAGTCGTCGGTCAAGAAGAGTTCTGTTATCACAGCTGTCGATCAAGAGGAGTTCTATTCGTATTAATATTTTGCTGCAAACGATTGCCTTGTTGATTTTGCGAATTCATTTGTGGTTTCTCGTTTGCGGTCTTTGACATCTAGGTTCAGATTAATGATTTGTTCACAAATATAAATAGAACTCTTTTTGATCGACGGCTTTGATAACAGAACTCTTCTTGACCGCTGACTCTGATGATCACTACAGTTATCTATTTGATGCAATTAATATAGATTTTATTACCTTAATTCATTATAATATGCGTCAAAGCACATCGAAGTACAAAATTTATCTTCGAAATGCTTTCTAACTTTATAAAATCATCAATTTTAAATAATTTTTATGCTTATTACGGTTTCTGTGATCATCAGGGTCAAGAAGAGTTCTGTTATCAAAACCGTCAGTCAAAAAGAGTTCTGTTTGTATTTGTGAACAAACGATTAGTGATTAGAGCTATCGTTGTTTGTTCTCAATTTTATTTAAAAAAACAAAATCATTTACTACTTCATTCTATAATCAAACCTTTATTCAAGAACATGTACTAAAATAAAAATTGATAATCAATTGCAATAAAATTAGTTACTCTTGTAAAGATATTAATTAATTGATTATAAAATATAGAAGGACAATTCCTTTTTTTTTTAATTTATTAAAAAGACAATTCCTATATTTCCTACTTAAGTGCTGCCATCTAGCGGTACAAGATAAGAACTAATCAAACTACAGTTTCAAAAATGTGTAGTTCATCCTGTTCACCGGAGAGATGGCGCCACGTTCAATTTTCAAAAAAAAGTCAATTAATATCGATTCTACTTGCTTAATTAATTTCAATATGCATCAAATGACATCAGAATACTAGACTAATTAACTTCGAAGAGAAATAAATATTTCTTGACACAAATTACATTAGATGCACTTCCATTAGTTCCCACCTTCTACCACGAGACGGCTACGCTTTGTTCGTCCACGAAATGCACTTTTTGTTAATTTTTAGATACAAAGCTTCAAAATAAAACTAAACTCATTTCTCTAGGTTTATCGTGCGAGTAGAACAATTTACGAGCGTCACGAGTACATAAAAATTCCTTAGTTTTCGAAAAAAAATAATTATATGTTTCGGCAGTATGGCGCTTGGCTACAAGATGGCGACAGCGGAATTTTTCAAATAGCGCGCGCAAAATAATTCAGAAATGCTATAACCTAACCTAACTTAACCTAAGAATTATGCTTCCAAACGCTTTCAGCTATTTAAATTAATTACATTACGATAAACTATTGTTTTTTATATCTCTTTCACAAATTAAATCATTGTGACATTTTCGTTGTGAACCTAAACTTTTGTATGCAACATATGACATATATTATTATAGAATTTTAATAAACTTTCAAGTACATGAAGCACTCTATTAAATATTACCATGTTCAACAGTTCTTCATGTAGTTTTTCTAATAAATTTTTAAACTTTGTCTACAAAAATACCATATATCCTATTTTCTGATTTCATCAAATTATTTTTACGATTAGATACTTAATGAAAAAACATTATTGAATGTTCACAGGTTTATAAGAAACTCTTCAATATAATCTATAGTTTACTTAACTATCCCACAAAACTAATTCCCGAAAATAACATTTTATATGGCTTAATCTGAAAACGCTTGGGTCAAGGATAAAGGATTAAAAACAGGATTGCAAAATATCAGAACACCATTATTATATATAGAATAATACTCTTTATTGTTTTTGATAGTTTTGTTGTTGTTGTTGTTGTTGTCGTCCATATTCATGCGTTATTCTCTTACTTTTTCATCAGGTTGATCGTTCCATTCTTTGTCTACGCTGCATTGCTGTTTCCTTTCTTTCGGTTGCTGTTCAATATTTTGGTAAAACGGTACGCGATACAACATCACAACTTCGTAACGGAAGTTGAGGTACGAACGAAAGAAAACAATAAATCGTGTCCAACCACCCGGGAACCGTGGATCATGTGTATCGTGTCCATGTGGACCACATAGGACTAGAGTAATTGCCATTCAATTATCAATACTTATTACTTCCTATAGATTTTGTCCGGAATTCACAATAAAGGTTAATCCTTTACATTAAATATTTTCAACAATTTTCCTAAGATTTCTTACGAATCCATTTTGTATTGCTTTTTTTCTGTTTTGCCGTGGTTTCAGGGCACAACACGGATCACGGTCGAGTGATCGGCACACGTGCAAAGATACAACCGCTTAAAACCTTTCCTAGTTCTATTAAAATGGCCGTCCACGGCTCGCATGGCGAACGCACCTCGGAGCACAGATTCCAAACAACCACTAAAGAAACTTCGATCAAAAATGTTCTCCTCTTTCCATTCAGCGTGGAATCGTCCCTCAGGAGCGTGCATTCGCTTCACGTGCCCGCCGCGATTTCGATGCAATTTCATCCTCATTTCTTTCCCTTTTCTCGTGTATGTCCGTGTATGTTCGTATGCGTGTGTGTACGTGTCTGTGTTTTTTTTTCGTTTTAATTTTAATTAATTAACTCTCTCTCTCTCTCTCCCTCTCTTTCTCTCTGTCTTTCTGTAACCGTCTTCTCCGCGCTAACTATTTACAATGTACAGTGTTCATATGTGTTCCATATTTCATCCTGTCCTAGAGGTTCGCGGTCACGATAATGGGACTCGTTCGTCTCGGGAACCGTTCCGATCTAGCCTAACGGTCGTTCGTCCTCGTTTTGTTTGTTTGTTTCTTTCTTTTTTTTCGGGCAAACTGCCCCGGGCGACGTTACACGGCCTCGTTCTTTCGCTCTCGAAAAGAAAGAGACCGTTGTTTTCGCGCGTCACCCACAGGCGTCTCGTGAAAAACGTAATAACGACGGTATTTAATACACGATTGATGGCGACGAACGCTCCGTAGAAAAATGAAAAAAGACAACGAGGACGGTGCGTTCGCAAGGCTGGCCCATTCGGGTTGTAGCTTATTCTTTGTTTTTTATCAGTCCGGATCGTTAACTAATTCTCGGCTCGATATCGTGTAAATAGGAACTTAATCGTACAATCGTGTTCGCGCCAGTCCGTTCGATTAACTCTTCATAGGGGACGAATCTGAGAAAATAAAACTAACAGTGGTCTGTTTTAAAATACGATGAAACTGTCCCGTAAGGAGTTAAGAAACGCAACGGGCTATCGTATCCATTTTGTTTTAAATCATTAACAATTGATCATTCTAAGGGTGCGTTTAGATCGAGCGAACGGATTGGGCGGAGTTCGAGCATAATGGAGCATTGCGATTCAAAGTTATTCGATTCGTGTTATGGTTTAAATCGATACGATTCAATTGTACGTGATTCATTTCGATATTATTCAATTTTGCGTGATTCCACGCGAGCTGATTCAACGATTCGATTTCATTCGATTTCACGATTCAGTTTGACGGGATACTATTCAATTCACTCTAATTCGATTGCTATGGAATTCGGTATAATTCGACGATATACAGTATAATTCAATTTGACGCTATTCGATTCGACGCAATCCAAATCGATGCGATTTAGATGCGAACAAACGCGAGTATTCAATTCACCCTAAGCGAACCCTAATTCACTCTAAGCATTCGAATCTTTGACTTAACCCTTAACTATCGACGAAACTCATTACGCCATTAAATAAAAATTTTCCTAAATTGCAAGTACAATAATAAAATACATTAGTATTTTTTAAATTTGTGTCTATTATAAATGCCTGAAGAATCAGAAAAACTATTTTGAAATATTTGTAATTTATTCATAACATCATAATTTACATATTTATAAAAATATATATAAATTTTTCTATTACGAAAGATAAATAAATTAGCTATTTATATTTGGCGCCAAATTATGACGTAATCTCTATGGCGCATAGTTAAGGGTTCGCTCACTTTTATACTTAAAGTTTGCTCGACAGTTCGAATGCTTGTGCTCCACATTTCCGTTCGATGAAATTTAAACGCGCCCTAATGAAATTGCAAAAGACCACGGGGATCCGTAAACGTTCTATCGATCGTACACGCGTCCTGGAAGAGCTGCATGGAAAACGAGTAAAAAACAGAATGATCAATTGTTCCTGTCGTTAAAAGTCGAATACGATATCCCCGACGTAGATTGCGTTTACTGTCGAAACTTAATTCGAAAGCTGATAGATGGCACCCGTTGCAATAGGCCAGCCACGGATCGCGGCGACATTATCCGAACGGCGGCGAGATTACCCGAGTCCCAATCGGCAACTTTGCGTATCACTTACCACGGTAAATATATATAATAATCTTATATATATACTTCTTGTTTATATATAATATATAATAATATCTTATATGTATATTTTCTTCACATTATACCTATTATATCATCTTTTATTTCCGCTTAAACGTACTTCTGCGCTTGCGCTATTTATACTATTTACAAGGTATCCTTCGATTTTTGTTGTTGTTACATCGTAGTCCCCGAAGTGTTCGTTACACACCTTTCATTTTTGTTTCATTTTTTTCTTTAATAGAATTAATTAATAACGCGCGACGGCGCGATAATGTCGAAGCACACGCGTGTCGTTCTCTCGCACGGTTTTAACGTATCTCAAGCAGCATCACGTGATATTCGACGAACTCGCGCCATTTCTCCCCTACTCGCCATCTCCGAATCCCAATTTGCCAGGTACTACGTACGGTACCCTATTTTATACGAAATGCGTTTTAACGCGGCTAAGGTACGTCCGTGTAAAAAGTACGAAATTATTTTTCTAGCCCCTCCAGTCTCTCCTCGGAGAAACGTCTCTGTGTACGTGTGTGTACGTGTGAGTGTGTGTGATACCGTTACACTTGCTCGCGATTCTCGGTAATTCTTCTCTCAATTACTCGTCCGAATCGCAATCAAGCGTACATGAGTATTTTTGCATCTACATGCGCTTACAACCTATTCTTCTCCTCTATTTGTATCAATGCACTTTTATGAGCTAGATCCGTGATGGGCACAACTACCCGCACCCGACTTTTGTACACATTTTCAATTTCCTAGCTTAAAATTTGCCTATTCTTACATCTCCAACTTTCTATTCATAAATTTATAGATTCAACTCGTAAATTCGTAAAATTATAAATTCACCAATTTCGACGTCTGCAAACTTTCAAATTCTTAATTTTCGTAATTACAGAGTCGGAAATTGTCAAATTTAGAAACGTATAAATCTCCAAGTTCACAAATCTATAAATTTCCTTGTATAAAAATCTACAAAGGCTGCATATCTCTTGCTATATTGCCAACGATCCGCAGCCCGCATTTGGAAATATAAGAGTACAATATTTGCGCGGCGAGTGCACGTTGCACATTTGTTTGCTCTTGCGGGTGGTTGCCCATCACTGGCCTAAACAGATGCAGCATACGATCGTTGCTTTTCCGTGTTCGAGATTGTTCAACTGGCGTGCATCGGAAGAAACACATGCGAGGTCGCCTTTTCGTGTTGCGAACTTGGAACACCAAACCGAATGAGGTAGCGCTGCGATCGCGAAATACAAAATGGCAGGCTCGAGGCGCCTCAACGCGATGGACGAATTATTTTTAACAATCTAACGTGCGTTAAGTGTGCCTCGTGCGTTCCACGTTTTCACGTTCACGCTCTTCGGTACCATGCAAGAAAACAACGTTTCTTTACCTAAAAACGCTTCGAAATGGTTTGCGTCAAATGCACAGGTCCAATTTCGTTCGTTCGTGCACGTGTATGTGTTTGTGTGTGTATGACTGTGTTGTTGACATTCCATACCCAAGAAACCTGACGAGAAGACTCTTGTGCACTTTGATTTGAATTTTTCCAATTCTCTGTACTTCGTTGTGACGAAGGGTGTAAATATGTAAAGCACAAACATAGACAAATAGTAGCAAAATGAAGAGAAGTCTCATCAAGTGACTCGGTTCAACAGAGATATATTGCTCGTTGTTTCGTAGAAAAATCATAGAACCGAATGAGTGAATCTATAGAATTTTGAACGATAAACGGAACATCAGAACGGATATCAAAATTGTCGAAAGTTCGCGTCAACAATTATTCGGCTTAACGTGTATCTATATACATCGAAGTAGCTATCGTTATTTCTCATGTACAAAATTGTCTCGTATCACATATGTCTCTCTGTATCTGTGTATGTGTGTCTGTACGTGTGCGTGCATTGTATACATGTCAGCTTAACATGGAATTACAGGTTTAAATCAACTCTCGTTACATAACCAGTATGGTGTCTCTTGTTTTCTCGCATAAGTAATCAGTCGATTTTTATAAATTACTATATCGCTTGACCGTTCATTAGTTTCGCTTAAAACGCTTAACCTCCATTTTAAGTATAGCTGCTCTGTTGGGTTCGGTTAGTGGACGTTGAGGACGAGATCGCGCGCGGATCGCCGTTTCTCTTCGCGAAGTATGTCCTCGTCGAGTTTGAACTATCTCTCCGTTACAGACTCCGAGTAAACGATCGTCTTCGGTCTCTGCACGCCGGCCATTCTATTTTATACAACACTGCAGTATCGTAAATACGACAGGATTTAGTCTAGATGTAGTGTAGGCCTTAGTTTAGTGTGATTTCAGATTCCTTTGCCAGACTTCTAAGTTTAAGGCAGGCAAATGAATGAGAAAAGTATGAAAAACTGCTCGGTACAGATGTGATAAGGGACGGAGTTTGGTGCGTACGAAAACCTGATTGTTTTTGGCAATAAAGGAAAGGTGAAACGGCTCTTTGAATCTTTATAACACAAGAGAGTTCTCTTGCGTACGAAAAGCTATGAAAAGGTCCTGGACACTGAAACGTCTTTGAACTTTTGTGACCAAGGTGCCATGTGCACCACCTATGGTGGTAGAAGACCGTATGACGCTCTAAGGCACAAGAACCATCTTAAGTATTGGTGCTCCAAGCCATGCTAAACTCAAAATGGCAGCGCACCTCTGGACCCTTCCACATTTAAAATTTAAGTTCTATTCTGTGAGACAAAGGATCGAAAGAAATTAAACTATCTTGAAAGATCCAGTACGTGAAAATCTATGAATCTAAAGATTATTTCAAACGATCAAGTACTTAAGATGGCTAACGTTTGGCCAAAGATTGGTCATTAAGAACGGACAGTTAGAAAAGCTGTCCATAAGTCTCGTGATGTCCAGGCTGCCTTTTCGTAATAGCACATACTTGTAAATGAAGTGTTGTATCGTGTCGTGTTATTTGTACTTTGCATTTGACTATATCCTGCGGAGGACTCCACGGTACAACAGCATATAGTAGATATAACGGGAGATCAGTGACGCAGAATGGCCAACGTGCGACGACCCGAAGGGACCGGCATTATCCCGATCTCTAAAATGCAGGTACATTTGTTAGCATCGTGCGCCAGAACACAGAGTGCATTCCCTCGAGCGTATTTCCATCCGCTAACATTTTCTATAATCATTTTTGTATCCAGGAACGAGTCTTGGTGTTAACTCTTCGGTAACGAACACCTCGATGGAAATACGTTCGATCAACCGCGTGTCCTGTTCACGACGTCAGGACGTATCTAGACTCCTCGACGAAGACTGCCGGGCGATCCGTGCGAATTTACGCACATGGCTTTGTGTATACAGACTTAAGCACCAGGGTGTAATCGTCCTAGCACCATATCGACTTTTTTTATGTACGAAACGTGTATGTGTGTCAATGTACGTGTGTGTGTGTGTATGTCCATATGTGTGTATATAATATAGGCCACGGCGGTTACGTCTTATGTGTGGTAAGTGTGAACCATGAATGTGTTAAAAGCGTATGGCATTAATTGATCGTCGCCTGGTTAGTGTCTTTCTAATCCACAGAGGAAACATCGATCGATGGACACTCCCCCATTTCGATTGGTTGTCGCGAACAACGTCGAGACATCGCCGAAGAGTTCTCAACGCCAGCCGGCTAGGCAAGCGATACTGTCGTGTATTTGGTAAGATGATGATTCGAACGAAACCCAGAATGGATGAAGATTTTCTTTCCTGTCCGGCATACTAGTTTCGTTCCGTTTTCGTTGATGTTCGGAAAAAAACTTGAAGAACAGGCTACGTCCTGCATACTACCGTATCGCCGGCTCGGGGGCGTGAACGTTGAAAGCTCTGAGACTTTTCACTTTCTCTCTTTCACTCTCATTCTTTCTCTCGATCTCTCTTTCTCTCTCTCTCTCTGTCTCTCTGTCTGACGTGTCGAGAACTCGGGAACTCATACGTGTGCCACTGAATTCGCAGGTGCAGCTGCAAAAACAGATCGTTTCGATGTAATATGCTTCTGGAGGTGGTTGATACGACGGAGGACCCGACTTCGCGTTGTGCGTTAAATAAAATATAAATCCTCGAATGTTTCTCAAACGTATAACACAAGTATGTACATAATATGTAAAAAAACGTAAACAGTTATAAACAGACTCTAATACGTTTGTAATAGATAAAAATCGCATAATTACATTAGATGAAATTACGAAACGCTATATCAAAAGATATCTTTGGAACAACGCGAGTTCGGGTACTCGTACGGTATGAAAATTGTTAATCACCTCGCTTTTGTTCGAAACGAATTCCAAAGTGCCGTGAATCCCGTGTACCGATTGCACCTGCGAGCCCAGCGTACCCGACGCGTATCCCTCTCCCTCAGGGAGCAGAGCCATGGTGGTGTCGTTTGTGGAAAGTAGAACGTAACCGAGGTAATCGATCGGTGCGTAATTGACACAAACGGTAACAAATAAGAAAAAGAAGACCTCCCGTAGAATCGCCGACCAGGCGTTGCGCACTCGAGAGAGGGCGACTACACGTCGTCTCTGCATCCCGACCCTACGAATCGGGGTGCTGGCGCTTTTACTTGCTCTGCGGCATTAGCGGATAAAAATCGATGAGATGACTCAACGATGTCAAAATCGGGGGCTATGATCCAACACACATTAACGGCTCGTGCGTACTACTGGTGCTGCCAGTGCTGACGCAGACACCGCCCACGTTGCTGCTTGCGCAGCTACCGCTGGCCGAGGTTAGGTGTTGCTGTTGCTGTTGATGTTGATGATGCTGTTGGTGCTGCTGGTGTTGTTGCTCCTGCGCCGTCGTACTCCTCAGAATGTCGTCCGCGGACAGGGGCGTCAACTTCCACCCAGGCATGAAGTCCAGATCTAGGTCCGGACCGATATCTACGTCTAGTAACTCGTTGTTGTTCAGCGGGTCCAAAGGCGATTGACTCGAGAGAGACAACACGCTCCCCCAGTTGATCGAGCGACTGTCGTCGCTGTCACCGATGCCGGAGTCAGCGTCGGTCTCGTTCGAGGAGGTTGGTGGCATCGGGAAAGGAGTTAACCTACCCTGCTCAGGAGGTTGAAGCTGAGCAATCGGGGCCGGTATAACCGGCTCCATGGGCGGTGGACTTCTGTCTCTCTCCATTTCGCGTTCCAGGTGCCTCAGTGTATTGCAGATCAGGACCGATCGATGAAGGCTGGGATCCGGAAACTGGCGATACCTCGCCAGCTTGCACATCGAGATGTTCAGGACTGCGAGTCGCCTTTGTCTGTAACAGGCTCTACCTCGTCGACACCAGCTCGACCTTGAGCCTTCGCAGCACCTCTCGTTCGCCCGGTAACTCGAGCCAAGCTCCAGATAACTCTTTCCGTTCTCTTCTCGCCGTATCGTCGGCGGCTCGTAATGATGAGGTGCTCCCCATTGCGGTTGAGGCCTCGACAGTTGGCTGTAACCGTTGTTACCGACAGGACTGCTCGGTCCGCGTTGATGATGGTAATAATGTTGCGGATGATGATGCAAGTGCGCCACCGTGGACGCCGGTGGC